TTCTATTCTATTCTATTCTATTCTATTCTATTCTATTCTATTCTATTCTTCTAATTTCTATTTTATTCTATTCTGATTTTCTATTCTATTTTTCTATTTTTCTATTCTATTCTAATTTTCTATTCTAATTTTCTGTTCTATTCTATTTTATTTTCTATTCTATTCTTCTAATTTTCGATTCTATTCTAATTTTCTATTTTATTCAATTCTATTTTAATATTCTATTCTATCCTATCCTATCTTATAACTTTGAACAGTCACTAAAACGAACGGTTGTAAGTCAAGGACTGACTGTATCTCCCAATTCCAACTGCCTATGAGACCAGGAACAGAGATTTGCCCAAGTCCCCCTCCAACCTCGAAAGAGATGCTGCCCGCTGGCCCACCACCTGCCCTTAGCACATAACAGCCAACGCTCCTTTTTAAATTGGCAGAATCACGAGGATAGAGTCCCTTATTTTTATTTTTAGAAGAAGAGATCAGGATTCACCGCTTGAGGCCTTTTGGGTACAGTCCCCTGAGCGTCGTCCTGTGAACTGAACACATCTGGAGAGAGCAAACCAGCTTGTTGCTTTTGTTGCCGGGTGACAACAAGTGTTTCGACCCACGGACACAAGTCTTCCAAACCATACCTGGCTTTGGGGGCTTCTTTGGGGGCTTGGGAGGTACACGAGCAGGTGGGGGCGGCCCTTCCCACCTCGCTGCCTGGTCCCCAGGTTGATCCCACGCTGCACCTGTCCCAGGTGGAAAGGTAGGAAAAAACACACCTCAGTTCTCACAGCAAAAGATTGTCACTTAAAAAAACACACAACAACAACAGTACAGGTAGTCCTCGTGTCAGGATTCTGGCAGTTACCCCAATTAAATCATAAGTCTCGAAAAAGACTTGTTTCTTTTATTAAAAGTTACCAAGCCGGCATATGCCTGGGCGTAGACGACTCTGAGATACGTAATTCACTGTCACCTTTTCTTCCCCACCCGGGGGTGAGATTCAAATTTTTAACAACAGGTTCTGTGGGCGTGGCTTAGGTGGTGGGCATGGCTTGATGGTCATGTGACTGGGTGGGTGTGGCTTAGTGGTCATCTTATTGGCTGGGTGTGGCCCACTCAATATCACTCACATCGAGGCACGCATCTCCTCGCCTGGCTTCTCGTGACTGTGGGGATGCTGCAACAGTCGTAAGTGTGAAAAAGGGTCATAAGTCACTTTTTTCAGTGCCATGGTAACTTTGAAGGGTCACTCCACACAAGCAAAGTACCAGCAAAGGAGGGGGAAAAAACTCCAGAGACGTTCCAGAGACAGGAAGTCTAGTCCTGCCAAGAATGTAATAAGGGTTAACGGAGAGGCAGTTTCTGTAAGCAACACCAGAATGTTTCCTTCCTGCCTTCCTTACAGGATTAGGCCAGTAATTTCTTCTAACAACCGGTTCTCAGAATTGCTTAGAATGTTAACAAGCGGTTCTAGCAAAGAGGTGCAAACTGGTAGAATCCCACCCCTCTGGGTGTATCATCCAACGAAACACCTCCATAGGCAAGAGTCATCGATCATGCTCTCCAATTAGATTTTTGCTGAGCAGAAGCTTCAATCATCGAATCAGTCTTTGAAGAAAATATGAATGGAATGTACTTTCGATTCCACACTGTCTCCTGCTCTTTGAAACTACGCCGCCACTTTCTGTTGACAACTATAAAATGGGTATACAAAATGTTTTATGAGTTGATATCCGGCACTTGCCTGGGTGTAGCTGACCCTGAGACACCTAATTCCTTGTCAACCTTGACCCTGGTTTTCTGCCCATCCCCTGCGTGAATCATTTTGACCTTTTCCACACCCCTTGCAAACACCGGTGTTCTAAAACCGCTCTTTCTTCTAGCCTGGATTACCTATTGTCAGCGTTCCAACTAAAACAATTCCAACGCAATAAACTTCAAGACAGGCGTTTCCTCAAAGTACCATTTTATTAGCGTTGTTGTCATATTTTCACATCTGGGAAAACCCGAATCTGAGAGTTCCAGGTTTTCCCTTCCCAAAAGAAAAATCAAAGATCCACCCCCTGCGTCCGTCAGTCCATCACATGGCCCAATCACCAGTCCTCCCAACTGATTATATAAATATATATATAAAAGCGAAATGCCCCTCACGCATCATCACAAAATCTCCAGAACCGTAAAGCCTACATGTTCCTCTTGGCTTCTAGGTGCTCACTAAGAAAGGATTTTTCCAAATGACCATCAGAACATTAGTATTTTGTATATTATTATTATTATTATTATTATTAACACGCTCTGATGCTAAGGAGTTCTACTCCCCCTCCCCACTTGAAAAGAAATCTGTTCCAAATGCAAAACACAAGCAGAGGAGAGGAGGTTCAGTTTTAGTTTCACAGCACCAAGCAGCTTTAGTACGGAACAGTTGAGCTAAGCCACGCCCAGGCTCCTTGCTGGTTCCTTGCTCATACAGCAAATACTGTTTTCATTTCCAAACAGCCTTCAACTCTCTCACGCACTGACAGGACACTAGCCAGATGAATACTGATGGATGCTGGTAGGCAGAGGCACAATTCCCCCACCACCACCTTATTTTCCTCCCCAAAAACTAATCCCGACCACATAGTTTTGTAGCGAAGCACGGGTATCCAGGTAGTAGATTATAGAGTAACAGAGTTGGAATGGACCTTGTAGGTCATCTAGTCCAACCCCACCACCCCAAGCAGGAGACCCTACACCATTTCTGACAAATGGCAGTCCAACTGGAGACATTCCTCTAGCCACTCCTCTTCCAGGTGCAGCGTAACTTGTCCTTGACTCAAGAAAAAGAATGTTATGTCTAAATTTCCACCTCGCTATCAGATCTCCTCTCCCAAATTCCTCACTCCCTTTTAGTACTGATGATGTTACCTACTTGGGATGTGAAACGTCTGCAAGAAAACTATTAAGCTCAGAGAGCAACATGGACTCCACAGCACTCCTCCTCCTCCTCCTCCTCCTCCTCCTCCTCCTCCTGTCAGGGCTGCTGTTCCGCTGGGGATTGTAATATCGCTCGCCATTCTCGACTCACCTTCTTCGTTCACGTACGTTGACTGCGGAGGGTCTTCCTCCTCGTAGACACGCGTGGGTTGGGGGACCGATGCCCGGCGCGGTGGTGGGATTGGCATGATCGGTGGCAGAGGAGGAGGCTGGGTCGGCCATGAATTTAGAGGTACGACGCTCTTTGGTTTCACGAGTTCGCCTGCAGGCAAATGGAGAGAGAGAGAGAGAGAGAGAGAGAGACGTACAAGGGGATCCTTCGACTCATTTAGCGACCGTTCGAAGTGACAGTGGCCTTGAAACAAGTGACTTACAACGACCGCGTGTCACACTCTGTCCCCAACTCTGAGGGCCAGATATTCTTCTCCTTCCTCGGCTTGCTGTGTCCCTTGGGAGCTGCTACTGGTTCGTGGCGGTTCGGGCGAACCGGTAGCTAATTTTATCATTTTTAATTACCAGTTTGGCGAACTGGTAAATCCCACCCCCTCGCTGGCCCCGCCCACCCTGCCCCTCCCTGCCCATTTTGGATGGTAAGTAAGTGCAGGGCCCGCAGGGAGACTCAGGGAGGGTGAAAATCGGCCTCGCGGACACTCCGGAAGGCCAGAAATGGACCCATTTCTGACCTCTGGGTGGTATTCAGCCAGTTCTGACCGGTTCTGGAAAACTGGTAGTGGAAATTTTGAGTAATTAATTGGGAAAACCGGCCAATCCCACCTCTGGGACTGGCCCCGCCAACCCCATCTATTCTCTGCCTCCCGTTGAGTCCCAGCTTATCGGCTGGGTCTTCTTTGCTTGCCCTGCCCAGGAGAACGGAGCTGTAAAGCAGGTTAAGTGGGGTGGGGAGGGAAGGAGGATTTGGCAGTATATCCTTCCCCTGCCACGCCCACCAAGCCACGCCCATAGAACAGGTAGTAAAACATTTTGAATCCCACCACTGCTCTGGAGGGCCTCCGGAGCCCGGGGGAAGGCCATTTTCACCCTCCCAGAGGCCTGAGGAAAGCCTCCGGAGCCTGGGGAGGGTGGAAAAAGAATAGGCCTCCCGTCGTGGTGCAGGAGGCCAATTAGGCCACACCCACCTTAGCAACCGGGCAGAGAATCAGTTGTTGAAATTTTTGAACCTCATTCCTCTGTGTGTGTGTGTGTGTTTTTGTGTGTGTGTGTGTATGTTTTGTGTGTGTGTAGAACTAGCCCTTGGCAAGAGAAGATTTTGTGGAAGGGTCGGAGCACTCGTGGGCCCAATTGAAGCGGGAAGGGAAACAGAAGCCAACTTCTTCCATGATCCGGGTGCAAATTCGGCGTCCGAATGGAGCCTCCGGAAAGTACCTTTCCCAGGTGGTTGGGGGTCCTCGGGCTCGAAGGGGGACCCCGAGATGCTCTGCTTGCTTTCCTGATCTGCCTCCACGACCTCTGCAAAGGAAAACGAGCCCCGGTAGAAAACAGGGGAGGTGCTTCTGACTTCTGACAACATTTTGACTACAGATAGTCCTCGACTTACAACCGTTCGTTTAATGACCGTTTGAAGTTAGAGAGACACTGAAAAAAAGGGACTCAGGAACTCATTGCAACATCCCTGGGGTCACACGATCAAAATTCAGGCGCTTGGCAAACTGACTCGCATTTACGACAGTTGAGGCATCCCACATTGTCCCCTTTGGCGAACTTCTGACAGGATTCACTTAACAACGCTGGTTACGACCTTAACAATGATTCACTTAACAACGGTGGCCAGAAAAGGTAGTCAAAACGGGGCAAAACTCGCTTCACGGCGGTTCCCGGAAACCTCCCCGATTATCAGCCGGGGAACCCGCGAAGTCCACGGGGAAGCCGGATTCACTTCACGACCGTGGGACTCGCTTGAGCAATGATGGTGATTCGCTTCGCAGCGGCGGCGCGGAAGGTCGTCAAACGGGGCAAAGCAACTGCCTTGCTTAGCCACAGAAATGCGGGGTTTCATGTGGGGTTGTAAGTCGAGGATTACCCGATATTTCTTCCCTCCCCCGGTTTCTCTCCACGGTGCCCGAAACAAATGGGCGAGGCCTACCCAGGGCCATGGCGTAGCTCTTCTCCACGCTGAGCGGCACGAGGGTCCCGTTGGTCTTGGTGACGAAGAAGTCGAGCACCGCCATGAGGGAAGAGCAGTAATTCTGGGAGGGGAGAAAAGCGAGGAATGGAAGAGGAGGCCAAACCTGCCCCGGGTTGGGCTAAGAAAAACTCCAAACGCCACAGCGGAATTTCAAAAAAACGTTTGAAAACTCTCGTCTGTTTTGAGCTACCGCCTCGTATGGAAGTTCGGATGGCTGGGGATGGTAGGAAGGAAGGGAAGGAAGGAAGGGAAGGAGGAACAGGGAGGGAGGGAAAGGAAGGAAAGAGAGAGGGAGGGAGGAAAGGAAGGAAAGGAGGACAGAAATAGAGAAGGGAGGAAGGGTAAGGGATAAGGGGAAAGGAAGGAAAGAGGGAGGGAGGAAAGAAAGGAAAGGAGGACAGAAATAGAGAAGAAAGGAAGGGTAAGGGATAAGGGGAAAGGAAGGAAAGAGGGAGGGAGGGAGGAAAGGAAGGAAAGGAGGACAGAAATAGAGAAGGAAGGAAGGAAAGGGATGGAGGGAAAGGAAGGAAAGAGAGTGGGGGAGGGAGATTGGCAGAGAAGGAAGGAAGAAGGAAAGAAATGGAGAAGGAAGGAAGGAAATAGAGAAAAAAGAAGGAAAAGGAGTGGGAAGGAAGGCAGGAAAAGGGACGGAGAGAAAGGAAGGAAAGAAAGAGGGAGGGAGGAAAGGAAGGAAAGCAGGACAGAAATAGAGAAGGAAGGAAGGAAAGGGATAGAGGGAAAGGAAGGAAAGGAAGAGAGAGGGAGGGAGGTTGGGAGAGAAGGAAGGAAGACAGAAATGGAGAAGGAAAGAAGGGAATAGAGAAGAAAGGAAGGACAGAAATGGAGAAGAAAGGAAGGAAGGAAAAGAGATGGAGAGAAAGGAAGGAAAGAGGGAGAGAGGGAAGGAAGGAAATAGAGAAGGAGAAAGGAAGCAAAAGGGAAAGCAAGGAGGGAGGGGGGAAAAAAGGAAGGGAGGGCGGGAAAGAAGAAAGGATAGAGGGAGAGAGAGAGAAGGAAGGCAGGCAGGAAGAAGGACGAAGGATGGAAGGGGAAAACCCACTTGCCATCACGAGGTTTCCATATGCTGCAAGAGTTCAGCTGAGAACATGCAAGCTTTTCATATTTCCCCCCCACCCCCCACTTGCATGAGGTCTAGTAACTTGGGGAGCTGGTCCATTTTAAACATTATACATTTTGCACGAATCACTTGAAACCGTTGCCTAGTCTAGTTCTGTTCTCCCCCCCCCCCTTCTTTCTAAAAACCTGGTTTGCCTTCGTCGCCCCACCGTAACCCTAACCCTCCGGGTTCCCCGCTTACCGGCTTTTCCATGACGATGATGTATTCCCCACCAACGGCGTTGATTTTATAATGCTTGACACTCACAGCGCTGCAAAGAACACAAAATGGAATTTGAATGCTGTCCTCTCCTAAGGTTTTTCCCTGGGTGTGATTTTATTTAAGCCATTTCAGATTAAATTACGGTTTAACAGAGTTGGAAGGGACCTTGGAGGTCATTTAATCTAACCCCCAACCCAAGCAGGAGACCCTACACCATTTCTGATAGATGGGAGTCCAATCTCTTCAGTGATGAAGCTCCCACAACTTCTTGAAGGCAACTTCTGTTCCACGGGTTGATTGTTCTCACCGTCAGAAAGTTTCTCCTTATTTCCAGGTTGAATCTCTCCTTGTTCAGTTTCCATCCATTATTCCTTGTCTGACCTTCGGGTGCCTTGGAGAATAGCTTGACCCCCTTCCTCCTCTCTATGGCAGCCCCTCAAATATTGGAAGACTGTTATCCTGTCTCCCCTGGTCCTTCTCTTCCCTAGACTAGCCAAGCCCAGTTCCTGCAACCGTTCATCGTAGGTTTTAGTCTCCAATTCCCTCAATCATCCTGGTTGCTCTTCTCTGCACTCTTTCCAGAGCCTCAACATCTTTTTTACAGTGTAGGGATCAAAACTGGGTGCAGGACTCTAGGTGTGGTCTTTTTTCAAGGTCAAGAAACATCATAAACGTGAGTCAGATGCCAAGCATCTGGACGTAAATGATGCGATCACAGGGATGCTACAATGGTCGTAAGTGTGAAAAACCATCATAAGCAGGGGTGGGATTCTACCAGTTCGCACCTATTCGCTAGAACCGGTTGTTAACATTCTAAGCAGTTTGGAGAACCGGTTGTTAGAAGGAATTTTTACTGGCCTAATCCTGTAAGGAAGGCAGGAAGGAAACATTCTGGTGTTGCTTACGGAAACTGCCTCTCCGTTAACCCTTATTCCATTCTTGGCAGGACGAGACTTCCTGTTTCTGGAACTTCTCTGGAGTTTTTTTCCCCCTCCTTTGCTGGTACTTTGCTTGTGTGGAGTGACCATTCAAAGTTACAATGGCACTGAAAAAAGTGACTTAGGACCATTTTTCACAGTTACGACTGTTGCAGCATCCCCACAGTCATGAGAGGCCAGGTGAAGAGATGCGTGCCTCGATGTGAGTGATATTGAGTTGGCCACGCCCAGCTAATAACATAACCACCAAGCCACGCCCACCACCTAAGCCATGCCCACCACCTAAGCCACACCCACCAACTAAGCCACGCCCACCAACTAAGCCACACCCACAGAACCGGTTGTTGAAAAATTTGAATCCCACCCCTGGTCATAAGTCACTTTTCCAGGGCCGGTTTTTACTTCAAAACATTGACTAAGCGAACTGCTGTTGTTAAATCATGGACTACCTGTAGTAGATTAAACTCATTGTTCTCCTGTAGACATCCAAAGGGCAAGAAGTAAGTTATAAGTCGAGAACCACATGTAACCAGATCTTGAAAGACTGAACATACTTGATTTTGAACAATGTAGTGTTTTTATTTGTGTACTGCCTAGGATTGCTGAGTGTGTGTGTGTGTGTGTGTGTGCGTGTGTGTGTGTAGAAATTTAAAAAACCCATATAAGTGGGAAAACGAACGTGGTTAGGGGTTATGACTCCCCTTCAAAATTCAAACGAACAAAACAGAAAGCGGCCGTTTCACAATTAAATCAAACGGAAAGAAGTCTTACAAGATAACGGCTGGCAGAAACCACAGCATAAATCTTTACTCTGTCCGGCAAACCAGTCCTGGCAATAAATCTCCAGTCTCAGAGCTCCTTGCTGTAACGTCCTCACTCAAATAGTCATTTTGTTCCTGGCAAAATGTACCAGCCCAGCCGTGTCCTTTTATACTCATTGAGGCTACGTGCTAATTTACTGACTCGCTCTCCTCATTCGCTCCAGCTGAGTTTGCCTTTTCAACCGTCTTCTATTTTTTACATTTTACCACAAATTTTCCAAGTTCTCATCTCCACTAGAAGACTCTCTCAAAACTTCCCTGTCAGCCATTCCCGGCTGTTGATCAGATAAGGAACCAGAGGAGGTCAAAGGTCCTGACAATTCTAATACATCAGGTCTGTCGTCCTTTGTCACGTCCATCTCCTCATCCTGGTTATCAGTCCAATCACTGAGCCAGGCCGGCTCATATTTTTCTGCCATGACCTCCTCACTTGAACTCATATCAATCACAGGAGCTGAATCCAAGCCCGGAGCCACAACAGTTAGGGTTAGGGTGGAGAATTCCTCCTGCATCCAATTTTGAGCCAAGCATTTGCCCTTCCAACTCACCCGGGTACTTTCTGCCGAACAGTCAGTGAAAAACTCTTCCCATCCTGTCCAGGACGCAGCAACATGTTGCCATAATTTTCATTCTGCTCCAGAAGGGCCACTGCCTCCATTCTGGAGACCTGGAAGAAACAGCTAGGAGAAGAAAAAGAAAAGAAAAGAAAAAGAAAAGAAAAGAAAAGAGGGAGGGAGGAAGGAAGGATGAAGGGGAGGGAGGGAGGAAAGAAGGGAAAAGGAGGGGAAGGAAGAAGGGAGGGAAGGAAGGAAAGGTGAAGGAATGGAAGGAAGGAAGGAGGAAGGAAGGAAGGAAGGGAGGGAGGGAGGGAGGGAAGGAAGAAGGAGGGGAGGGAAGGAAGAAAGAGGGAAGGGAGGGAAGGAGGGAAGGAGGAAGGAAGGAGAAAGGAAGGAAGAAGGAGGGGGAGGGAAGGAAGAAAGGGGGAAGGGAGGGAAGGAAGGGA